ATGGAAATGAGTAAATAACTCCAGCTGGCAGCTGTAGTTTGTTTTTGTCATACACAGATGGAAACCAGAAAAAAAGTAGCGCTGTAGATCGCTGTAGCCCTTGATCATTTGTGACACTGTTCTCACTCACCATTTAGCATCATTCAGGACGGTCCTCTCACTGTCAATGTATCTGAGTAATGGAATGATGCAGGAAAATGAAAATGTAGTCGAGCTGAACAGCCAATCAGAGTGATGTAGGTCGAAACAGGAGTTTACATCACAAGGGAGTTAATTGACTAAAAGCCAATGGGATTTTTCCATTGGATTTCCGTATATTGCAGAAATAAGTTCTGTGGCAAACACACATTGATGACAATTACCTCATTTTTGTTCGGCAGGATAATCTCCAAACAATAACACCACTGTGTAGCATAAATACAAGCAGCAGAAATAGAAAGCTAATGTTAGGCTATCAACAAACTCACGGGCTCTGATTTAAATCTCTGCAGCTTGTGTTAACCACAGACCATCTAACTGCAAACACAGGGAAATCACCGTTGACTTTGAGACAAGGCAACCGGATGTGGTCAAATTACAAGTCATTTCTGGGTTTTATGACTCGTTCTTGCACCACTCTATAGACTGAAAAGTAGCCGACAGTGTCCAACTATAGCCCAAGATGCTGAACACACCGCAAAAACAATGCGTCATATCTCAACTAACAGCCTGAAATTGTTTGTCAGGATGGACTTTAGTATAAGAGCGCCCAAGGAACTCTTCATGGTCAAGGCTCTTATGCCCAGTGCTTCCTGGTAATACTATAAATACATGATACCATCTCTGGAATTTAAGTAAATATTTCCCCACCAGTTTTTTTGAACAATATATTCCTTTTTTCATGACATTAGGATACAAATTCAGTTTACATTGGAATAGTTGTTTGGTTATGAAAAGGAAGAAAGTTCACCGTAGTGAACACGAGGAAAATAAGTGTATTTTTCCACAACGAACACAATGTCCTTTCGTAATTTCTGTACTAGTCACATCTTGTTCTTTGTAATGGCGCGTGTGTGTGTGTGTGTGTGTGTGTGTGTGTGTGTGTGTGTGTGTGTGTGTGTGTGTGTGTGTGTGTGTGTGTGTGTGTGTGTGTGTGTGTGTGTGTGTGTGTGTGTGTGTGTGTGTGTGTGTGTGTGATATTAGTAACTTGAACCTAAAGGCACAGAGCTAGGCTTGTGTGTTTTTCTTTGTGTCTTTCATCACAGGCACTCTGTTTAAGCACATACACACATAATTGTCCGTGCGTCCGAACACACACACACACACACACACACACACACACACACACACACACACACACACACACACACACATTTCCACTGCCACTCTGTAGGCTGCACATTCCAACACCCATGAATATCACAAACCAGCAGCCTTGCACTCCTTCCCTCACATTTGTGACTATATTTGTGCGCTTGCTGATGACCGCAGTGAGACTTTATCCAAATATCTGCGGCCGGAGAAGCTGCTGGTGTAGAGAGAGAGAGAGAGAGAGAAAGAGAGAAAGAGAGGCACAGGCCATTGTTCAGCTTTGTGTGTTTGTGTCAGACATGACGACAGGATGAATAGCCGAGAGACCGGATTGTAAATAGTTGTAATGTGACTCGCTCGTCTTATAAAATGTGTGTGGAGGAACGCAGAAGTCTGCAGTCTACCCAGCTGAAATGGTGAGAGTTTAAGTGAAAGAAAGTGAGGCAACTTGTTCTTTCTTCTTCACATTTGCACTGCATTTGTGTGTTACTTTTCCTCAAAGCAGCAACAGGGGGCAGGGTGCTGTGAGGCGGGGAGGGTAATTGTCTCAAGGTGTGGAGAGAGCTCCGCAGGCTGATACTGTGCTCTGCTCCCTGCAGTGTGTCATTGTAGTGTGTGTGAGCGTCTGTTTGTGTGTGTTATCATGGTGAAAGACAGGTAAAAACTCCACTTACTGACCACTAAAGAAAAGAAAGAACTTGCAAGATGAATACAAAATGTGAAGGAAGAAAACAGCAGAACGGGTGCAGGCTGTTATTCTCCAAATAATAAGGAGAACAATGAAAAGAAATGGATTCAGGGGGTTCTGAGAAATATAGGCAACCAAACAAACAAGAGGAGAAAAACAAAGAAATAGAGAATTGTAACACACAAGGGTAGTATGAAGCTCACGAAGCCACAGGCAGGACAATTTGGGAAGTCAGTGTGTATGTGTGTGTGTGTGAAGGAGGGTGTTAGAGCCCCAGTGGGGGTTTCTTCTAGAGTTCATCCCTCTTGAACGAGGGAAGGAAAGGGAGGAGGGTGAGGCTGTCTCGTATACAAACTATCCAGACTCCGGGCCAGTGTGGTTCGCCTGCAGCAGAGTCCCACTTCTGTGTGACTGAACTATCCAATAAGCTCCGGGAGGGAAGATAACTGAATCCATTTTGAACTGAATTGAAGGAATTGAGTTAGATACTCCCATATGCCAAAAACAAATGGAAAGAGAAAGAGAAGCTTTACGAGGCAAATAAAATTGCAGTAGTGACATGGCAAGGATGACCATTGAGAAGGAAATGTAGAAATGATGTGGGGACTGAAACAGATCAGACTTCAGGCTTACAATTAAACTTTAAAAGCTCAGACCCAACTGGCAGAAATACTGCATTTTTTTGTAAAGTCCTTTCCCTGTAAGAAATACAAAGCCATGTTCAACACCATGTTCAACTACAATGTATTTGAAGGGTCTGTAAATCCTCCCATTATTGTTTTGAGGATGTTTCATGGAAAAATGTTTTTAATATTGCAGAATATAGGTAAAATACTGATAGTGTTCAATTCGACTTTACAACATGAACAAATTCCAATTAGGTGCCAGGAGTTGCCAAACATGTGTCAACAAACAAGCATGCAATTCAACATATATATGAAGCATAAGGTAATATTAATATATGTAAATATGAATCAATATTCATTTGAGTTTAAAGTGGGCGGTTGTTTTAAAGGAACGTTTTTTTAGTGAATAAACAGCTGCTTGTAAATTCAACGAAACATAAATCGAATAACTGACTCTGAACATTGTCTCTGTTTTCTATACACATTTATATTTTGTGTAAATATTGTCTGATTCTGATTAGGGTTGCAAAGGGGCGGAACATTTCCGGTAAATTTCCGGAAAGTTTCCATGGGAAGTTAAGCTGGGGAATTTTGGAAATATTCGATGCAAAATTAAACAAAAAACATGACATTTCAAGAGATTTTTTTAAATGTTAAAAAACATTTTTTTAAGTAGAACAGAACAAGTTTTAATTATTTTATTGAACAATTATTTGTTTCATTGAAGAACGAAAACAGGAATGTTGAGTTAAATATTACTCATCCCCCCCAACCCCACTCATTAAAAAATGAACAAAAATGCACCCCCCATCCAAAAATCCCCAAAATGTCCCATTAAACATGCAAATCTTCCTTCAAGCAATCCTCTGCATTTTTTACCCTTTCAGTCAACGGGCTCTTCCTGGGCCTCATCAACATCCAACTCTGAGTCTTCCTCTTCAGTGTCACTGTCCAGCCTTGTTGAGGATGGCTCCGTGTCAGGCTCAGAGAGCCATAGGTTTGCCCGAATGCCAACCAGTTTTTCCACTCTCACATTTGTGAGCCTGTTGCGAACCTTTGTGTGGTCTCAATAGCCATGCAATAAGCAGTGTGCTATGGCATGGATATTCAAGTGTACTTGAATGGCATCTGTTTGTTTTAGTCAAGATTATGCTAAAATATACTTTCCCCAACTATATTTAAAGTGGACCTATCATGCTATATTTGAATAATATAGAGTAGGACCATACCTATATAAGGCATATTTATACTTTTTTTTTTTTTCAAAATACCAAACAGATCATGCATTTTAGCCATGCCTCATTTCGCTCAATTTGCACTTTTGTAGCCCTGTTTTTGCAAGGGCTGATTCTGTGAGAACAGCACCACCTACAGGCCTGGCATATGTACTACAGCGTCTCCAGCGCTTTCGAACAGCAATGGCCGTGGCTGTCTCCTCCTGATTGGTGGAGTTGGCCCAATAGCCGTAGCGCCACCGTCCTGACGTCAGGACAGTGTTCAAATCTGGATCAGTTTTTATCAGATCCGTTGCAGCCCCTTTTTTAGAGATTTGGGTATGGAGGAAAATAGAGAGGGTTGTGTTTTCTGACACTTGGTGAGTTCCCTGGAACACCGGGGACACATATTCATGTATAAAAGACGTACAAAAGTGCATTTTGCATGATAGGTCCCCTTTAAGTTCCCTATGAAGAGCCAACCTTCAATTTGGAAAATTCCCAGTTTATTCCCATAAATTCCCGTTAATTCCCATGGAAAGTTTCCATCTTTGAAAATTCCCGGAATTTTGCAACCCTAGTACTGATAAAGTGATACCAGATACAAAGCCTTTTTTCTGGAAACTTGCAAGAAAATACCAGGGAATATCAACATCTAAATAAGGAGCTATTCTCTATTATTATTCTTTTGTTTGATTTCCTGTTTGTTTTTCAGGTCTTTTTTTGTCCTGTTTTATTGTATTTATATTAAATGAATAATAAATAGAAGTCCAGTATACATTTACTCAAGTACTGCAAGGATTTCCATTTCCTGTTACTTTATTCTAAAGTTAGTTTAAAGAAAATCAGATAAGTAATACAAGATATAATCATCAATAATTTAATTTATTATTTTATAGGTTAAGAAAGACTTTGTAAAAACAAAGTAAAAATAATCAGCTCCTTCTTTGCAGCAGGTACTTTAAATTAATATACACATTTATAATGATTGTTATCCAACAGTAAACATATATTATTCGGAAATTGGCCAATGTGCAGAATGAGTACTTTCGCTTTTATTACTTCAAGTAAATTCTGATGCTTTTACTTTGTAATTTAGCTTAAGTACATTTAGGAAGCTGGGCTTTTACTTGTATCTGAGTATTTCAACACTTTTGTTTTAGTAGTTTATAACAATGAAATAGTGTTATCCTAGTAGTCTGTCCACCTCTGTGCAGTGCAACACAATACCATGCTTTTAATTTGGGGGAACTTTCCAAAATGAGTATTTGTCAGCAGGTGTTTCCCTGTCACCTCTGTAATCCCTCTGCACTGTACAGAAACCACACCAGAGAATACATTTACGAGGAAATTAGAAAATGACACTCACCAAATTGCCTCTCTCTCAGCACCTTCTCTACTTGCTCAAAACAAACCTGTGTGGTGGGAATCTTTGCAGAAATGTGGTAGAGCTGTACTGTTTGTAAGAGAGGCAATTCTCCCTGCTGTGGTCAAACACAAAGAGGAATTAATGCAGAAAGAGTCAAGTGAGGGGAAGTGAGGAGTGTTTGTGTTCATTTGCAGAATATGAAATATGGAGGAGCAAGTTGGAAAACTTGAAGGAGGAAAGGGGGAAGGAGAGAAACTTTGGTGCCTGACCAATCAGAAAGCAGTTACACACCCCCCCAGGCACTGTGTCCCTCCCCCTTCTTCTCCCCCGACCCCACCTCCTTTCTCTGTGCTGAGAGAGCATGTGGATAGTTGGCTGAGTCTGTGGTGGAGTGCGAGAGGCCCAGAGAGCCGGCAAGAGGGGAAGCTCAGATCAGTTCAAAGCAGTCAAGATAAAGCAGGAAGGCAAGCAAGTGATCCTGGAAGAGAGGGGGTGAAATCAGTTTGGGTTGTAGAGCAGAAAAGAGGGGAGAAAGACAGGATTCTGTGCTTCCAGAGGACTTGGTTGGGACAGGACACGCAGTCCTGCCTGGGGGCAACAAGAGACCAACTCACAGAAAGAGAGGGAACACCTGGAGCAGGCAGAGTTACACTCACAGGAAGCCTCAGATTCGACACTCACTTTGTCTCAGCGTGGCTGCAGAAGGCTGTAGTTTGTGTTTGCTGTGATTTGAAAGGAGCATGTTTGACTGCATGGAGGCTCTGGGGCTGGCCCCTCGGCCCCTCTTTGATGTGTCCGGACAAGGGTCCTGCATGCTCAGCAAGGCCAGCTCGTACTTTTCAGGCCTGGACCCCTACGCCTGGGCCGGGACCGGCAGCATTCAGTGTGAGTACTCCATCCTGCTGGCCATCACACTGGTACAGAGCAGCTGTGTGTGTGTGTGTCTCTGTCTGTGTGTGTGTGTGTGTGTGTGTGTGTGTGTGTGTGTGTGTGTGTGTGTGTGTGTGTGTGTGTGTGTGTGTGTGTGTGTGTGTGTGTGTGTGTGTGTGTGTGTGTCTCTGTGTGTGTGTGTGTATGTGTGTGTGTGTGTGTGTGTGTGTGTGTGTGTGTGTGTGTGAGTTCTTATCAGGGTCCTGGTTTTGTTATCATAGGGCTCTCTCCACAGGAAGAGTCAGATTCCTTTCGATTCTGTGTACCCATTCTCACCCTGCTTTTTGTTTGTTTGTTTGCTCAGTGTGCTTTGTGAGAGTGAGTGAGTGAGTCGGGGAGTGCATATTTATACATCATCGTGTTTGTTTTCATTATGAATGACTCTGCATGATTGACAGCTCTTTCAAACAATTCGAGAGCTGACCCGGCGACGTGTGCAGAAAACAGCAACGTCCAACCAGAAACAGCTCTGACAAGATTGAAAGCAAATGGGCCTTGAAATCACACGGATGTGATTTGGTCAGTAACTCACACTCATGGAATCACATTTAGTTACAAACCAATTATACAAGATGAATGAATATAAAGAAGGACTGATCAATGTCAACATATGATCAATCTGTTACGCTATGCAACAGTTATGTGAAGCAATATCAGAAGAAAGGATGGCTGTAAGAAATGAGAGGTTGTTAAAAGATGAAATATGAATCACTTGACAGATGTTTCCTGACACAAGGCTAGACATTATTTGGACATATTCTCAAAAGAGCTGAAGGCACAGATTGCATCAGGTATTAACACGTGTGATAAAAAACAAACACACTGTCGCAGTCACACAGCCAATGCAAAGATACATTAGAAAAATACACTCCAGCAATAATAATAAACACACTTTTTGCTATTGTCTCTGTCCAGACTCTTTGATTAAACTTTGCTTTGTGGCTTGGAAAATCCAACATTGACTCTGAAGTCTATTCACGTGTGTCACTGAGCTGAACACAACATGTTTTATGTTCAAATCATCTTCTCCACTGCGGGATGTCCTCATTGCGCACCTTGAGTCTATTTATCTTCAGTAATTATTTAGATACCAGTGCATCAGGTCCTGTCAGGTCCTCAGTGCTCACTAATGATGACGGATGAGCAGTCAGGATGACAAACACCACAGCAGGGCCTGTTTCAACTCGCTAAGGAGCTGCGCCAGATGTCAGCCCCACAGACAAATGTCCCCAAATGTTCATTAATCTTCTCCTCTTCATATGAGATCACTCCAGTTTGCTTTGAAGGGTTGCCGTTTCTGTTCTCAGCTTGAACTAAAAAAACGACCACAGGGGTTCGGGGGAATTTAGCCCATTTCTGTTTCTGAGTAATATTAATGGATGGGAACATAACTCAACTCTGACATAACTTCATATCTTTATTTAACTAAACAGAATAGATTTGACCTCAACCGATCTCTCTCAAACAGGAAGCTGGGCTGGTGATCTTAAAATCCCACCGCTTATAACTGGAGCTGAGACAATTCAATGTATTGATTAGTCAATTGACAGAATAATAAATAGCAACTCTTTCAATAATAGATAAATGAAAGCCCTTCTCTGTTTTAAATCATTTAAAGTTTATATTATTTAAAATGTTGGTCGAACAAAACCAGATTATTGAAGACAACATAGTTAGCTCATTATTTATTTTACACAGATCAAACGATCAATTGGCGAATGACTAAATCAAATAATTTGCAATATTAATAATGATAAATACACATGTGTGCATAATTCTTCATGTTATGATTAAGTCTAAGTCACCAAACACTTGGCTCAAACACTTTGAGCAAGACATGAGCAACTCATGTATTCCAAGATTTAACCATTTAAATGATTTCATTCAGACTTATTCATTGTAAAGATAGTCTTTAACCTTTCGAGTCTCAGCCACTGTGAACATTCAAAGTAGAATTAAACTTCCTCCACCTTTCGTTTGATTTTAACTAACCCTTTGTGGTTAAAACATTTGCAAATGTCGACATTTAGACTATTTTCATTATTCAAAATGGTCGACATTATATCAGCCGCCTTTATTGGGAAGTGAATACAAGTGAGTTGTCTCAGTGTTGCTCTCAGTGAACATGCACTGTTGGACACTGTGAGTCTAAATTCCTGAGTGCATTTTGGCCTCTGTGTCTTTTTGACACCAGCTTTCTCCCCTGTGTGAGTGTGTGTGGGTTTTAAGGGGGGGGGTCATCTTTTCCTGTGTTTTTTTTTTTATGTGAGGCAGTTCAGCACCTCTCTGCCTTCCTTTGTTTCAACGTCAGGAGGCATTAAAGGAGCGGGACATGCCAAAGTCTGTTCGCTCTCTGTGTCACTCTCTCTTGTGTGTGTGTGTGTGTGGGGGGGGAGGTCGTCTATGTGACATTTGTTTTTTCCTTTTTGAAGACCCCCCCCCTACCCCCCCTTTCTAAACTTGATCTCTCTCTTCCAATAGTGTGCACCAATGTGTGTGTTCTTTGCTCAAACTTGGCTCAGTTTACACGCTTAGTGTTGTGTAACCAAGAGCCTTTAATGATTCAATTACAATTACAAAGGGTCAATTAAGAGATTAGGTGGTGTGTAGGGGCATGGGCAGTTAAAGGAGATGCGGGCTGAAAGAAGAGTCGAGGGTTGAAGTTGGATTTGGGATCAAAATACCCCCCCCCGATGCTTTGTATCTTGGGGTTTTGAGGCCTTGAGGGGAAACGCTCTCCACTCCTCTGTGATAATCTCCCTTTTCTCTGGCACCCTCTTCTCTTAAATGGGTTCTTCAAAGTTAGTTAAACAATGCTCCTCGACCCTCATATCATCCCACAGGAGGAGAGGGGCTAACTGTGATACAATGGTATGCTGTTACGGCCAGTGATAGAGCCAGAAGATACTGTATGTGCCTGATCTATGAGATAAAACAGTAGATTTTTACAGATGATTGTTTTTAGACTAAAAGGGGCTTAGATGATTACTTTTGCCTCCGCCTGTACGAGCATCACCCTGATAAAATAAGGTTATCTGTGTCAGTGGGTCATGAAATACAGGCCTATACTCCTGTACTCTTAATGCCTCTGTCCTGTCTTTTTTTTTAACACTGTCACTTTCTCTACAATGGTGAGAAGGAAAGTACACAACCTCTGTGAACCCAGAAATTCAAGTTCAGTGCTGCCGTAGCAACTGAACAAACTGTTTAGCTCACTTAAAATAACCAAATGAACAGATGCTGGTCAATTGTCAACATTTTAAATTATACATTTGGAACTGCAAGTGTCTGTTTCCACACAAGTGTGAGTGAACAATGAGTAAATAAAAGCACATTTTCAATACACAAACAGTGCAGTGGCTAGGTGTTCACAAAGGAAGGTTTCGGGTTACAACCTACACTTCAAATGCCTTGTACTAAATTCAGATAATTAACACAGGAAAAAAACACAAACAGTCTCTTTCTTTCTTTCTTTCCTATCGACAGCCACACATCCCTCTTTGACCATAAACCCGATTCTTCTTCAGGTCTTGTCAGATTATTTAGTTACTGTGAATTGTGCAAAGACTGTAATCAAATTATTACTCTAATCTTGTTATTCACTGTAATGAGGTTACTGTTTGCCTGTTACAACAGACCTTATTTACCTTTGATTCTGAACGCCTACACACTCATCTGTTGGGAATGACAAATACTGTATCTTAGGAAAATGGTTGAGGAAAAGCTCTGATTTAAACCCATTGAAACAATTTAACTCAGTGCAGAATAACATTATTAATTATACGTTACTCTTATTAAAGCTACAGGAACAGAGAGAATCCCAGGCTGCTGATAGGCCAGCTTGAAACCAACATCTTGTGAGGTTTAGTGAGTCCTGTTCCAGCTTGTCTCTGTTTGTGGCGTCACAGCTTCCAGCCATGTCTCCACCACATTCACTGTGTCCTGGGATGACTCTGAATAATGAGACAATCTTTTACGTCTACAAAACTATTTGTCAAATATCCCACAGTGTGCTTACCGTCTGCTTTGGTTGCAGGAATGTGGTTTAAATAGCTGACAAGACATTTTCAAAAGAGTAACTTTGAACATAAAAAGCAAATAAAAGCATAAAAGCAAAATGGAGGCCGACTAGAAAAGGGGGGATAGAGAGAGGGACTACATCCAACAAAGATCCAAAGGCTGGAATTGAACCTGGGAGTTCAATCACTATTTATAATCCACTTTGCCTGATTTGTTTCTGTAGAAGATGTGTTGGAGAGCCATGTTGGTGTTTTTTCAGGATGGAGGTTGTCTTAATAATATTAAAAAAGGCAAAAATAGAGATCTGGGTTTATTGGGTGCTATAAAAAAGAAGGGCTGTGTTGTATGCGTGATGATGAATGGGAAGGACTAACCCAGGTTTAACAACCGATCCCGTAAAAGCACCCCCCACCCCACTCTGCAGACAAAGCCTAACTTTGTGACCATGAAAAAAAAACAACATATTACATTAATGTTGTTTTCCAGATGTTCTCCTCATTCTAAAGATCAAGAGAACATGAGTTAGGAAATATGTATGTTATACTCTTTTGGCCCACAGTTATGACTGTTCCTCTGAAAGTGTTTAAGGTTTGAGTATGTGTCCAGGATTTCTGTTTTTGTAAGTGAGCTTGTGCAAATGTGTGTGTGTCCCTTTGTACACCCTTGTCTATGTGTTGGTGTGTGTGTGTCTGCTTCCTTTTTAAGTGTTTGGTGCTGCTGTTTTTATTGAGCCATCTCCTGGACAGTAGCCTGGTTTTCACAGCCTTTCCTTTAAAAAGGCGCTGCCAATGACAGGAAGGACTCCTCCTCCTGCCAGGGCAGGAAGGCAGAGGGGGGAAGAGGGTTATTACTGAGGGTTGTGCTGAGGGGGGAGCGCAGGGGAGGGGAGGGGACGCTGGTATTGAACTTAGAACAGCTGATGAAAGGGATTGTCACTCAGATCTCCCCTATCTCCTCCCTGCTGTCATGGTAATTACTCGCTCAGCATATTTGAGGCTATGGCTCTCCCCCACTGTTAATCTGCACTCATGAATTACAACAGAGTACAGTCATTGTAAGCACCAAACATGCATTTTTATAATGAAAGACCGTGTCATGTAACCAGAATTGAATTTACAAAATACATTTCTTTGAAAATGACACAAAGGAGTTTTATGTCTTATGGCTATTTCATGATGAATGATGTTTAGTTTCCTCACACTGTTTCTGTGATTGTTTTCGGACTCAAAGTCACGCTGAAAACCCTCACACACACACACACACACACACACACACACACACACACACACACACACACACACACACACACGCACACACACGCGCACAGCTGACCTGTGGCCCCGTGCAGCAGCCCACACACACACATATTCACACGTGCACGCACATTCCACAGTGTGCTGCTGAACATATTGTGAGGCGAGAGGTTATGTAAAAACTGAATTTCCTATCAAAATCAATCTTTGGAGGATTCAAAGTGAAAGAGGTTTCAGTCAAAACTGCTCTTTCGCTCAATTAACTTTGTTTTAACAAAGATCTGAGGTTAAAAATGATATCTTATCTCAAACTAAACAATTGACCATGTATTATTGCTTTGTTATGATGCCACAGTGGTCCACTACACTCTGGAGCCCCCAGGCCACAGTCTAGTTCAATGAGATGCACGGTGTTGTCAGGCTGCATGCCTACAGGCCAGATGTCACACTGTGTCCACTGCACAGCCACTCCAAGGCAAGGAGAAACACCTTCAATATCTTTGTAAAACAAACCACATGCTCACTCTGTCCATGTGTGTGTGCTGCAGAATTTAAACAACTGCAGCTCCATGCATCAATCTGCGTTTCATACTTTTATTAATAAATGACAGATTAGTTCTGAAAACCGTCTGATGACACCAGCTTTGCCTTCCTTTCAGTATAAAAGCGGTTATCAATGTAAAAGTCTAGTGTACTAACTGCAAACAAATGATATGATGTAAAATGTGTACTGTATACAATTCAAAGTTGAAATTGGGGGGGCTGGCAGTATGTGGCTGTTACTGAGTCCACTACTGCTCAGGATTGAAGTTGTCACTCCACCAAGACTCATCAGAGCTGATAAGGAAGGTGTCCGCTTTCAGAAAGGCTTTTGTTGTCTAAACACAGACCCAGAAACAAGAGTAGATCAACTGAAGTATTGTTAAGAAATGCTATTGTTAGGTGAAAAAACCCTCACAAAACACCGCTTTTCACAATAACCATCCAATGACAGGTGATGTGTATAGTTCTGATTGCATGTGAAACTTTGCAGAGGGTGTAAATCCGGCTCGCTGATGAGTGATTCATGAGTCATTCTTTCTGATCTGCATCCAATAGAGGTGTGCTGATTGATGTTGTGACACGCTGAGGGGTGAGTTGTAGGTGAGAGGGAGAGAGGCATTTTTTCCATCCGCGGCTCTGAGGCTGAGCTCAGTTCAGGGTGATGACAGCCCTTGACAGTTTTTGGCTCCTCTCCTTCTTTTCTCCACGGCAGGTAAAACCCCCCTCCTCCCTCCTCCCTCTCTCTTTCTCTCGCCGCCTTCAGCCCAGTGTCTCTCGCCCTGTCTCCCTGCGTCATGTTTGTGGGAGTCACGTCGCTCCTCACCCACTCTCACCACCCTCAGACGGTGTCACTCACTACCTCTCTCCTGGCGCCAGATGCAGCTTCTCTGTTTCAATGGGAGCTATTTTTCCACTTGTTCTCTCAGGGCCACTTTTACTTTGTCAGTGTTACTATATAAACAGAAAACAGTGATCATGTTACAGTGCCACTCATTCAGACCCACCCCCCGCACCTGGGCTCCGATGCCCCCCAAACTGAATACATTATAGTATTTACCTCCTGCAACAAGCTGCTCTTTGTTTACCCGTAAACTCACGTGAAACATGATACGCTCTCCTGCAAACTCTGAATAATTTCTCTCATTGTTGGAGAACAGTGCTATTATTTAGAGCAAGTATATGAATTAGGCAGACATGACAATCTCTATAATCTTTATAATCTGGTTTTCTGACAAGATAAACCATGAGGTACACTATGAACATTACCATCAGGGCCACAACTAACAATCGTTTCTTTATCTTTTATTAAGCCTGTTACTTTCTCAATTAATCCATTTTCTTTATTATAATATTATACTATTATTATATTTTTATGGAATGAAAGATGATTGTTAACACATTCCTGAAGTCCAAGACGCTGTCTTCAAATTGTTAATTTAATCCAAAAACTGAAGTATATGAAAGTAACCATAACAGAGAAAAGCGCATGACAGATAGCAGATCAAATAATGCATTATTAATGATTGTATGTGCTTTTAGGCAAGTTGTTGTTTATCAGGGTTGTTTTGTTTCTGTTGGGAAATATAATTGACCTAAAGACGTAATACATAATCTTTGTCAAAGAAAAACGGATTTAAAAAAAAGGTTTGGTAAATGTTTCAAATAACATATACCACATTAATCACATTTTCAAAGTATCAGCACTTTAGCTATGCAGTGCACACATCTGGTTTATATTGTATGATGAAGCATAAAGAAGCTCAGTGCAGGTAGACGGATTTCTTTGTCTATAATATAAATGTTATAGGAACTATTTAATATATATCTTATTACAATAACATTTGGCTATTCACAGTTTGGGACTTCAAACAACAGAATTATTCAAATGTGAGCACATTACATGGGAAGTTAATGGTCGATGGTTTGGTGTGTTTTTTATTTCCATTTCAGACTATTTTCACTTTAAAAAAACATTATCCTCAGTTATTATTTTGCACACTTTTATCAATGAATGAATGAATTAATTACATAATTAATTTAATTACACACTTACAAAGCACTGTGTCAAAACCAGATCAGAGTAACCAATGAATTATTTAATGGAAAACTAGGGTTGTTTTTTTCTCAAAACTTCCAAAACATTTTTACTTTGGATAATAATAATTAATTGTAGGATGAATTGCTGCAACGGCTAGAAGTAGCAACAGCTTAAAAACACATTTCCTCCAAGTCATGATTCACTGAATGTTGTGTGAAATGACAAAGTTCAGAAGTCTCTTGAAAGCTTAAAGCAAGCTGATGGTCATGTCGTTAGCAATGGCCTTCTTCAGTCAAGGTCAAAGTTAAATGGTCAGGATTTCTTTTAACCTCTCGGCCACTGGGAAGTTTCTGTCCTTGGACTCACCTCCTTCTTTCTCTTTCTTTTTCTTTTCATTTTCCCCTCTCTGTTTTTATTAGATTATTCCTTTGTGCCTTTGCTTTCGGTTTTTTGAAACCTTACCACTCTTGTTAATGGCAGGCTGAAGGTTCAGGTTGGGGTTGCTGCGGTGGGGAGGGGGCCACATTTGGTTCAGTCCTGTGCTATCCATTGAAGGCGACAGGAGGGGCTGTGACTTTGGGGTTTTTGACCCCAGATTCTTTATTTTTACTAGGAAGGGATCCAAGGATGGAGCTGTTGATGTGAATAGCTGCCCAAGGTGACTGGATCCCAATAAAGAGGCCGTCAGCCTGGCCGGGGGCCTCCTCCCCATCCCAGACACAACCTTTATAGGGCCGCTTATGAGCCTGGGCAACTATTAAACCCTGTCCAGCCTGCACTGAGGAATTTAGGGCCAGGAAACAAGGGAGTGGGGGTGGGAATGGGCAGAGGGAGGTGAAGTTGGGGTGAGTGAAGGTGAAAGTTGAATGGCATGTTCGAAGGAATCTGGTTGTTCTTGTTCATCACCTTCAAATGTGTACCGGGCGTGTTTCACTCTGTAAGTTCAGGGAACCACGTCTTTTTTTAAACAGCTGGATACACTTGTACCTGCGTCTACTTTACATTGTTTGTTTTTGAACGTTTTCATTAGCAGCAGTTGAAGGACTTGTGCCTATGGCCAGCAAATGGTGTTATACAGTGTGCCATTTTCTTTAGCGAGACAGCGAGAGGGAGACAGCAGAGTCTCATAAACATCCCGCCTCTGTTTGTTCACATGGGGCAGGAGGTATATAGGCAGGTCTGGTTGGACAGCCTTTCAAATAAAAATGTGAGCGTGCGTGCACACACAAACACACACACACAGTCACACACACACACAGATGCAAAGATTCAGATGTCAGTCAAAAAGTCAACAGAGGTATGCTTCTCCCCCACTCACCAGTAAATGGAGAAGCCAATCAAATCTCAGCTGCCAATCAGCATTTTATCAGCAGGGCCATCTGGCCATCAGCTAATTGTGTCTCTTTTAAGTCCCTGTCAATCAGCAGTGCCCCCTCCACCTCCTCCCCTTTCTCTTAAAAATGTCTGCCTTTGAGCTTGCCTTCTGGCTCCGAGGGGTGGCCTGCATGGGGTTGGGGGTTGTTTGTTGAGCATTCTCTCTTAATCAGTTGCTGTATTAGCTTTCATCATAGTTTCAAAGACTTTAAGCACTTATGTAAACAAGATGTTCTGATATAATAAGAGTTGCTTTTTGTTTCTTCTTCCTGCAGCGGTGGAGACCCAGAGCACCAGCTCAGAGGAGATGGTGCCCAGCTCTCCTTCCCCTCCTCCCCCTCCTCGCGTCTACAAACCGTGCTTCGTGTGCCAGGACAAGTCATCTGGTTATCACTACGGAGTGAGCTCCTGCGAGGGCTGCAAGGTAAATGAAGCCAGAGACACCTGAGGAGTCACATGACATGTATGAAGGGGACAGCTGATGTTTCAGCCACAGCCGGACAGATGTCAGCACTGCAGAGCTGTACTGTTAGCTTCTGTTGAGCTGCCCCCTAGTGTATCCTTACTATCAATGCACATTATTAATGTAACAGCCAAACATTGTGCTGCATGTGACCAGCAAATGTCAACTGAATCTACATGCAATGACAGCTTTGCTAAAGTAGGGCTTTAGAGCTTGAAATGAAATGAAAAAACACATTTGGAGCTTTTGTTTGCTTGAAGTCTATAAACAAAGAACAATATATTTAGAAAGAAGCCGTGAAAGACTTCGGTTCTAAGTCAGGCAACACATGTATGCAATGCATCAAGCATATTACAATTTATTTTATAAGCATTACATTAGAAATCAATCAACTAAAAGTCTATAACCATCTTAACGACTCTGTTAGGCTGAACACAGGCAGAGAAGTGCTTCAAGCTTCATGATAACACACAGCCACAATGAAAATGCTAACATTCTGATTTAATGATGACAATATTCCCGATCTTGGTAAAGCATGTAAGCATCACAAATATCAGTTTAAAAAAAAAAAAACATCACACCTGATGTTGTTGGTTCTATTTTCAGAGATGTTATTAAGAGCATTTTACAGGCATGATCAGTGTAAAATGCATTTTCTTATTTCTGTTTCAGGGTTTCTTTAGGCGCAGTATCCAGAAGAACATGGTGTACACCTGCCACCGAGACAAGAACTGCCAGATCAACAAAGTGACGCGCAACCGCTGCCAGTACTGTCGACTGCAGAAGTGCTTTGAGGTTGGCATGTCCAAAGAAGGTGAGAAGAAAATATGGTCATCAATATTATTGTTACAAAGGAATACTGTGGGAAGAATTGCCTTTTAAACCACGTCTCCTTGTGCCTGTATTTCCTTTTAGCGGTGCGTAACGACAGGAACAAAAAGAAGAAGGACGTGAAGGAGGAGGTGGTGCTGCCAGAGAACTACGAGCTGAGCGGGGAACTGGAAGAGCTGGTTAAAAAAGTCAGCAAAGCTCACCAGGAAACCTTCCCATCTCTGGGCCAACTGGGAAAATACACTACAGTACGTTTTGTAATGCTTTATCACCTCCACCCCCTAAACCCTCCACTGAGGCATTAGCTCACTGCTTTGCCAGAACGCTGTATGGACTCTGCTCAAGCACACAGACCAAAGTGTCCCTCTTTCTCTCTCCCAGAATTCGAGTGCCGACCACAGAGTGCAGCTGGACTTGGGCCTGTGGGATAAGTTCAGTGAGCTGTCCACTAAGTGCATTATAAAGATTGTGGAGTTTGCCAAGCGGCTACCAGGCTTCACCACGCTCACCATCGCTGACCAGATCACCCTCCTCAAATCTGCATGCCTGGATATCCTGGTACCAAACACCTCCTCTTTTTTAATCCCCTTCCACCTCCCTCACGCTTTCTCATTTTGTCACGCTGCTTAACTTTAAAATGATTCATCTGAATAGCTGCCATGATTCTTTTTTCCACTGAATTTCATCCTCCTTTTACTAACTGCCCACATTGTTCTTTCCTCTCTGTTTTGTTATTGAATTCCTTCTCTTAGATGCTGAGGATATGCACTCGCTACACCCCAGAACAGGACACAATGACCTTCTCTGATGGCCTCACCCTCAACAGGACCCAGATGCATAACGCCGGCTTCGGCCCGCTCACAGAGCTGGTGTTTGCCTTTGCCGGTCAGCTGCTGCCCTTGGAGATGGACGACACAGAAACAGGCCTGCTCAGCGCCATCTGCCTCATCTGCGGAGGTAGGTCTTTTCTTACCGGCGTGATATCATTAGCTTACAGACTCTTAAAGGTCTCCTGTCATGCAAAATGCACTTTTCGATGTCTTTTACACATAAATATGTGTCCCCGGTGCGTCAGGGAACTCACAAAGTGTCAGAAAATAAAACCCTCTCTCTTTTCCTCCGTACCCAAATCTCTAAAAACGGGGGTACAACGGAGCTGATCCAGATTTGTGTCCGATATGACGTAATATCGGAAATGTGTGCTGGCTTTACACCCACGGCCCTATCAGAAACGTCGCTATCAGAAACAATGCCCGACGGGTTTTGGAAGTAATATGGTCTTTGTTTACATTAGCAAGCATCGCTAACACTCAGAGCTAACCTGTACTGGAGAGAGTATGTGTAAAAAAGGCTGAAATAAAAAAAGGAACTCACCTTGTAGTAAACCTGCAAGAGAAAAAGCATTTGAGCTCCATACTCTTTCAGAAATAATCCTTGATGTGGTTTGGAACATAATATGGCGTTTAATCACGGCAGCATTTAGCAGTATCTGAGTATAAGCTTTAGACCCAGAATCAGCACTTCTCTAACAGGGCAGAAATATAGGGATATGAGGGATGTCTAAAATGCATGATCTGTTTGGTATTTTGAGCAAAACACATCATAGACATGTTTTTTATATAATTGTATATATCTGAGACCCATAATATATGCCTAAAAATAGCATGATAGCAGATCTTTAAAATGTTACTTTTCTCATTGTTTTACAGTTCCCTCACTATAATGTTTCCAGCTTTTCTACCATTTCTTCACCTCTTTGAATATGTCTATTGTTTCAGACCGCATGGATCTGGAGGAGCCCCAGAAGGTCGACAAGCTGCAGGAGCCACTGCTGGAGGCTCTGAAGATCTACACCCGCCGCAGACGCCCCAACAAGCCTCACATGTTTCCCCGCATGCTGATGAAAGTCACAGACCTCCGAGGAATCAGCACCAAAGGTCAGCTGAGGTTTCACACACCAGTATCACATAAAATAAGCAGGGCTGTAACAAACCTTCCTACAAAATGTACCCACAGTACTGAGAATAAACAACTGTATAGTACTTATTGTTGGCATTGAATAGCAGATTTTGCATTTTTGTTTATGTTTAATTCCATTTTTGGAAAAAGTTCTTGTGTTATTATTATTTCAGAAAGTTTTACTATCAGTACACAAACTCATAATACAAGATATCTTCAGAAGTGAGAAGTAAATAAGTAAATGTACTCAAGTACTGTACTTAAGTACAATTTTGAGATCTTGTACTTTACTTGAGAATTTCCATTTTAGGCTACTTTGTACTTTTACTCCACTACAATTCAGAGGTAAATCGTGTACTACTCCACTACATCTATTTAATACATTTAGTTGCTTTACAGATTTGATTTAATGATGTGAAATATAAACAACACAATCTGAATAATGAGTACTTTTACTTTTGGTACTTTAAGTATATTTTGATTGAGTAACATTTTGAATGCAGGACTTTTACTTGTAACAGAGTATTCCTACACTCTGGTACTTCTACTGTTACTCAAGTACCAGATCTGAGTACTTTTCCCACCTCTGGATATCGTATCGGCACAGGTGTAAAAAAAACAATGCCCAATCTTTCTTAGCTTTTAAAGTAGGAAGCAAATTAAGAGATCTTTTCTTAATTACTAGACATAGGCATTTTTGTTCTAATAAGCAAAGAAACCTGTCACCTGTGAAATATGCTTTCCACTGTCCTTGTTATACACTATCCATTAAATAAATGTGTGTGTGTGTGCCTGTAGGTACAGAGCGAGTCGTCACCCTGAAGACGGAGATCTCGGGCCCCATGCCTCCTCTGATCAGAGAGATGTTGGAGAACCCCGAGGCCTTCGAGGACAGCAGCGACTCGGGGGACAGCGCTGCAGCCGCCCCCCCCGCCATTCAAGCCATCAAACAGGAAGAGAAAACCACGGATGAGTCTGCAGTCGAGGAAGAAGAGGAGGACGAAGAGGACGACTACTGGGACGAGGAGAAAGACAGAGGGGCGGACAGTGACAGGGAGCCGTCGGGGGGGGAGGCGGCGGCGGGGGGGCCAAAGAAAGGCGTGAGTGGGAAAACGCAGTGAGACAGACGCCATGATGCTGCTTCCTCCCTCAGATCACTGAGCCCTCACCCAGCGATATCTCTCCTGAGAAACCTCACAGATGTAGGCTCTTATACAACAACATGTTTCACACAGCACATATTTACATAGACTGAATACTGGACATGTGGCTGAAAGGAAAGTGTGTTGAATTCAGTCGAGGAGGCAATGAGTGGGAGAAGCAAAAGCACTATATTTCAGTGGGCTGGGGAGAGCATCGGGAAAACGTCACTGTGCCAAAATGAGACTGTACAAAAGATATTTCAAAAGTGTTTTGTCCACCCAAAGAGGAATAGAGGTGGGGGACAGAAGAAAATGCACTCCTCCGCTATCTATAAGGGCTATGCTTTGCATAAAATTGATGGTAAACATACATTGCAACAACTGAACACTACGTGGTGTCCATTTGCCGCAAATGTCTTCTCAGAATTCCTATTATCGCTATTCAGAGATATGCGACTTATTTTTTAATAGTGGTTTTTCGATGCATGTACACGTTTCTGTTGTCTTTTTTCCTGTCTATGGGACTTCTTGTTGCTTTTTTGTATATTTTTCACTTTCAGTCCTGCTCAAATTTGACTTGACATGTAGTTTCTTTAGCTTGTCTTGTTATTTGTATGCATTTCTGCTACATCGGACACAGTGAAAAGCAATAGTAAAGATAGTAAAGAAGGGAGCAAAAGCAAAGAGAGAGCCGGTCGTGAGTAGGACTCAAACTCACATGTAGTTCGTGAAACATCGGAAAGACAATAAGAGGAAGACTGTAATTCAGCTCTGGTTCTTGTGATGCAAATAGGACTCGAAGAAATAATGCAAAACAAACGCAGCAAACTATATCCAGCTTCTGACAAAAACACACACAATTTCAGAAAATACTAAAGAATCTGCAGGGTAGATTTAATGTCATCAGCACAACATCTCAGGTTGATTCTTTTAGTGCCAAGTCTCACCTGAATTTTTGAGAAACTGCTGCTTGTGAACGCACCCCTGTTCAATGAAAAAGTCTTCTTACAATAAAGAGTAGAGATGATTAAAATAGAAGTGGTTGATCATGCCCTTGGTACAGTGCATCAGGTACACATAAGCCATATTGTTTTCATTTTGTAAGAGTGAGAATACAATCTTCCAAATGGGCACAACACTTACAATCAGTTTACTTCACAGAAAACCTCAGGTGTGTATGTGTGTGTGTGTGTGTGTGCATTAGTGTGTCTACCAACCCACAGAGTGATGTTGTAGATGTTACTCTCATTAGTGCCATAATCCACAGCCAGCAGTTAAGCAGAAGTTGTAAGTATCTTAAAAATGCATATAAAATACGTTTTGTAGCGAACTTTCAAATGTCCTCACCCAAAGACTTCTGTTGGACATTGATACCGATGTAAGCTGATATTTGATCACATGATTGATTAACACGCGGTTGCATCCATCCAACACAATTAAGAAAACGAAAGCTTTACATTGGGTTCCCTGTCTGCTGAAGCACGGGCAGCCGTTTCAAATGTGTGTTGTATCTCATGAGTGATACATGGATTTTGTAAAAGAAATAATTTGTTTTTCCGTCTAGCTTTTTTTACTCAAGATGTATAAATGTACATTATCTCTGTAATGAAAGACAACGCAGTCTTACTGAATTCCTTCATATTTCTAAGGGACACATGTCTCCATCAGTATGGTGTCAGGTGTAAAGCTGCAACGTATTTTTGATTTGTTGATATGAGGGATAAAAGAAGAAGCTAGTGTAAGATATCTAAACAAATGAGGATGAATGAAGCGGAGAAAGAGAAGATGTAGAGAACAGATCGGCTTAGTGGCAACACTCCAGCAGTGACCATGATATAGATAGATATTTGGCACCAGACGTGATATCATCTAATACACAGAGGTTTTAAATGACCAGCACTGACGCCACAATGACGTTTACAGACTGTGTGTTTACTGATTTGTGATAATATAGAACGGAAACATCACAATCATACAACTGAGGTGAAAGATAAGAATTATCTTCAGTGTTTTTCTTAACTCTGTTTCTCTCCGTCTTTCTAACTCACACTCAATCCTTTGCACATCTTCAGCCAAGATCAGAGGTTTTAAAATATCACATTACAGCCGTATTTCATGATAATGTTTTCTGTTTTTGTTATATTGGATTTGAGCGGGTGCAATAGATAAGCCATGGATGAGGTCACAAAGGCCTCAGCTCTATATGTAAGCATGTGAATAGGAAAAATAAAAAAGACCAAAGATATTTCATTACGTTTGGACAAAAACAACTTCATACAAATTCCAGTAAGGTCAATGATGGGAAATGTATTCATGTTGTATTATTTGATAGAAAACAATGTCATAATCTCTAATGAGTTTTGAAGCTGGAACCATTTTATCTGTTACATTTGTTGTTTTTTAACTGTTGTATTTTTTATAAACTATATATATTTGTAGTGTGAAAATAACAGCCTTATTCTTATGTTCAGGGATTCAGACACCTCATCTGTTTTATTTCAATTTACTCAAAAATAGCTCTGATATCCACCCACACACACACACACACACACAGAAAAACAAAGACTGTGCTGATTTGTTCTTGTTTTTACATTTTGATTTGTTGCTTGTTTGCTTATTTGTTATTTGTTGTCTTTCTTGTATTTTGATAAAGGCGCTTTTTCTTTCAGACCTTCATTGTCTTCTTTATAATCTCTTTACAGACCACAATGAAATACTTAAGATGTCAAATTACAGACCAGCATGTATTTATCATCCCATTTTATTAAAGAGCACCATCTCTCAGAAGTTCAGATCAATAAGCAAAACTATCATACATTCACTTTCATATTCGTCCAAACTGACGCTGAGTTGAACAAGCTGCAACAGGACATTTCTCACTTGTCTGTAACCCACGCACGCACACATACACACACACACACACACACACACACACACACACACACACACACACACAACACACACACACACAACACACACACACACACACACACACACACACACAACACACACACACACACACACACACACACACACACACACACACACACACACACACACACACACACACACACACACACGTTATAAATCCATTGTATCAAATACACCTTTTTCAAAACAGTTGCAGCATGCTCAGACATATTTGAATAAGCCACAAAAAAAAGCTAGAAAACCTACGGATAACAAGTGGAGAATTTAGACATTATTTGAGACAATTAGGGTCTAAATTGTTTTAATTATTATTAATAATATAATATATAGCAATATAATAATATATTATTTGTATTATTAAGTAGAAATGAAACCATAAGCCATTCTATTAAAACACATTCTACACCCTTAAGACTATAAACTGTGTCGTCTTCAAACACAGACACTCCTTTGTGAAGGCCAACAGCTACAAAGCATCATCAGAACAATCCAAACGTTTTTTTGATGACCGGCACAAACTTGCATCATTGGTATACAAGTCAGTTGCCGTCCATCTTTTTGTTACCACATGGGGGATCCGACCACCTCACTGCAGAGAGAAAGAGGCAGAAGGTGCTGAGGATAAAAAAAATAGACAACACTGTCAGTAAAAATGCTATTAAATACAATTTTCGCTTGACTTCTGATCTCCCGCTTGCTAATCCTGGACATGTTTTATTATTGCTGCTATTTTTACTCTTATTGTGATGCTGTTAGCATATTATTTACACTTCTATTTTTACTCTAGTGCTCTATGACTCTTCCCACGAGAAAAGAAAGTGCCTGGTAAGTGGAAGGACAGCTTTCTAAAAACCAGTCCACCAGGGAGGAGAGTGTGACTGAAGTCATCCTAAAATATTCTATGAGAGGTGACTCCAGTGGAGGAGGGAAACAGGGTGTGTACTGGGCTGGTGGAAAGCCAAATCTGTCACCTCAGGACGGTATGTTGTTTTTGGGATATTGAGAAACAAACTAGGTCAATAATAGATAATATCATATTTTGTATTCACACATGTAAAAGACATTGGGATTGTCATAAGATGCTCCAGGATGTTACCTATATTACATACTGTTATTGCACATTAGTCAGTGTAAGTTCTTGTACACTTCCACCCTTTTATTCTCAGAGTAAATTGTCCAAGAACAGTTTTTATGAAAATACAATATTATATAATAATGGCTTCTTTTTTATATTTGTTAATCCTTTGTACAACTTAATTCCTTTTTATTGTGTTTGTGCCATATACACTAAGCAAATTCCTTATATGTGTAAACATACTTTTATGTTGTGCAAGTCTTGCTTTCATGTTTCCCTGATGTAAACTCGACCCGGTTAGAATAAATACATTGTCATGACTCCTTTCAACCAGTCAGCATTAAACCTCAGGGGTCAACAATGGAACTGGAGCAGAAACTGGCAGGGCTCATAGCTCTGATGCAGGTGGAGTTAACCCTTGTTTGGCTCATGTGTGAATGGGATGGCACACCTGTGTGTCAGAGACTGGGGTCTCAGCAGCGGGGGTCTCGGCTCTGTGAGGCCGCTCCAGGGGAGTGGACAGGAACAGAGGTGAGAGGATTGATCGGGAGGAAGCTGAGGACACATTCTCTTCATCCTCGGAGGAAGAGCCAGGAGCTGTTTGAAATCAGTTTAGACTCTTCACTTCAGTACTCGTTACAGTGCAGGGAGATAGCAGCGTACACCGTGTGGTCGTTACTCACAGAGGGATGTGGGGACTTCCTCCTTTGATTCAGTTTCAACTTCCAACCTCTGCTCCAACTGAAGGATGTAGATCATCAGGTCCTACCAGTGTCCAATGACAATCCAATTTAAAGGAAAACAGTAAGAAAACATTTATTTAAAATGCATTTAGAAAGTATTTCATGTTAACAACTATGATGTTTATTTTCTCTTATTTCCTGTTGAGTGTATGGAATTATTTATTGTGTTTTGTAATTAACGATATCTTTGAATCGTTGAATGTAAACAGTGGAAATACTCTGAGACAAGTAAAAAGTATTTTCATAAAACAATACTTTTAGTATCAAAAAGCCATTATGGAAAAATGACCCAGTGTACAAAAATGAATATTATGTAATTGGATTATTATTATTGACCCTATAATGTGTACTTTACTTTAATGTTGCAGCTTTAAGGTCTTATCTTATCTTAACTATAACAAATACATTCTAATAAATGTATTGATTACATTTGTGTTATTCATTTGAATCTGCAAAGCAACCACTAACTTATGACACCATATGAATTAAAAAACAATATTTTCCTCTGACATTTAAGGGAGTAGTAATAGTAAATTAAAATACTTAAATAAAGTACAAGTACCTTTACATTGAACATAAGTACAGTAATGGAAAAGTATATTTAGTGACTTGTTTTACTGCCAAAATGAGAACTGGGAACCTAATTCCTCCGACGAGGGCACCCAATAATAGTGTGCCTTTGGGTAAAGCACAAAAGCATGACAACTGTTATGTATATACACATTTGATTAAAACAAAAATAACTGTGGGTGTGTGTGTGTGTGTGTGTGTGTGTGTGTGTTTGTGTGTGTGTGTGTGTGTGTGTGTTTGTGTGTGTGTGTGTGTGTGTGTGTGTGTGTGTGTGTGTGTGTGTGTGTGTGATGCCTTGCCTGTTTCTCCACCTGCTGCTCCTCCCTCTCTTTCTGGGCCGCCCTCAGACCGGCCTTCAGCTCCTGCAGCTCTCTCTTGGAGTCGCTCTGCAGCACCTACAGGGGGCAGCAGTATTTTACTCATCTCAACACACTCTGACCAGGCTCATCCTCTCTCCTGCTGTTGTCATCACATGGCAGTAAAGAGAAATGTTTACACGCTGTTCATGGAAGATTTCTATTTGTGCCTGCTAGTGAGTCATAAAATAACTACACTGAACTCTGGCTTCGTTCTCCAGTTTCCAGAAATGTAATCCGAGCAGATGACGATGGCACACGATCAGTTATATTTAGAGCTGAATTTGTTTGTGTGTTGAATAATGCGATGAACTCACTCTGGTGCAATCTCTCTCTCGTCCAAGCTCCACTTCTATTTTCTCCCTCTCCATCCTCTCCTCCTGCAGCCACTCCTCCTTCCTCCGCACCTCACAGCTCAGGTCTTGTAATTTCTTTGCATCTGTCTGCATGAAAAAAACAAAAAACTTAACAATACAGCCAGGTTGACACTTGGGCATTTGTATGCAGAGATGGCAAAAGTACACACACCCTTTATTCAAGTAGAAGTACAGATACTCGTGTTTACAAATACTCTGGTAAAACTAGAAGTTCTGACATACTTCTTTACTCAAGTAAAACTAAAGAAATACAGGCTTCGAAATAACTACCATCTGTTTTAAAGAGTAACTGATCTCACTTTATATTAATAGAACAATAATGTCATTGTTAGCTAATGAAAGTTTCCATGCTGAACAACGGCAACATGACAAAGTTCTCATTGGCGCTCTTCTTTAGAGAAGACCAGGAAATGATGGATACACAGATCGTGTTAAAATCAATAGGCACGCAATGACTCTAAATCATAATGATCACGCCACCAAACACAGATTAAAACTAAAGTAACAAACCTGTTTTGAAAATGTAATAAGTAGAAAGTACAGGTATTTGTGTTAAAAATGTAAGAAGTAAAAGTAAAAAGTCGTCAGAAAAATAAGTAGTGGAGTAAAGTACTGATACCAGAAAAATGTACTTAAAGGTGGGGTAGGTAATTCACTTCAGAAACACTTTTTGTTATATTCCATGGAATGCTCTTAACATCCCGATAGCAATGAATACATTAAATGCTTTGACAATAAATACATACAAATATTTCATCTGTGGAAGCCGTGGCGCTGTAAAAAGCACGACGGCCTAATTGGATGGCCTACCTGCCTGTCAGCCTTCCATCTCGTGCACAAACTTATCTCGTGCCCTCATTGGTCATGTGCGCGTTGGTGTGTGTTGGAGGAGGGGCTCTGTAAGGAAGTCTGAAGGAAGGGGCAGATTTTTTTCGGTTGTGTACTTTCAAATTCTAGCGCACTCGAGCTGGTTTCTCCATTCTTACCTACCCTACCTTTAAGTAGAGTAACAAAGTATTTGTACTCCACTACTTCCCACCTCTGTTTGTATGTGCTTTGCTGTAGCCTCACCTCTGCTGCATGTTTGTACGCCTCTCTCTCTAGAGTCCAGTTGGCTCTCTCCTCCCTGAGCACCAGGTTCTCCTCGGACAGCTGCAGGGTGAGCTGGGCCACCTGCAGCCGGGCCTGGTGCAGCTCGGTGTTGGTGTGGCCCTGACGGATGCCCAGCTCCCTCAGCTCCCTGCGGAGGCCCTCACCTACATGCTCACTAGCCTCCAGACGATCCTGCAGGCCTCGAACCTCCACCAGAGCCGCCTCGTACTCCCGCTGTGGAGAGGAGAAAGGGGACAGGGAAGTGAAAACATCTCAAGATGACACCAAACCATTTAAAGGTCTCCTATTATACTATTTGTAGGCATATGTTATTGGTCTCAGATATATACAAATATATAAAAAAACATGTCTATGATGTGTTTTGCTCAAAATACCAAACAGATGACCCATTCTAGCCCTGCCTCATATCCCTCTATCTCAGCCCTGTTAGAGAAGGGCTGATTCTGGGTCCGTAGCTTTAAACAATAAATAAAAAAGAGGGGGGGGGGAGCTTATGCAGGAGAATTCTACCCAGATACTCAGCTAAATGCTGCCGTGATCAAACACAATATCATGTTCCAAACCACATCAAGGATTATATCTGAAACAGTATGGAGCTCAAATGCTTTTTCTCTTGCGGGTTTACCACAAGGTGAGTTCCTTTTTTTATTTCCTGCTTTTTTACACATACTCTCTCCAGTACAGGTTAGCTCTGAGTGTTAGCATGCTTGCTAATGTAAACAAAGACCATATTACTTCCAAAACACGTTGCGCATTGTTTCTGATAGCAACGTTTCTGATAGGGCTGTGGGTGTAAAGCCAGCCCACATTTCGACATTACGTCATATCGTACGCAAATCTGGATCAGCTCCGTTGTACCCCCGTTTTTAGAGATTTGGGTACGGAGGAAACGAGAGAGGGTTTTGTTTTCTGACACTTTGTGAGTTCCCTGACGCACCGGGGACACATATTTATGAATAAAAGATATTAAAAAAGTGCATTTTGCATGACAGGGTCACCTTTAAATCATTACATTACATTCTTATCATCTGTTCCCAGAAGAAGCCTCAACCCATTACCTGCAGAACACTTTCTCTTCCTCGTCATGTTTCATTTGACTGGACATTTTCTTCACTCTCTCCTTCAGCCTGTTGGATAAAAAGTTGTTTTTAGGCCCAGATGAAAAGAAATACAGAAACAATGTTCATGCTAGCATGTATCTCCAACACTTGCCTTTCCAGTTACACTGTTTCTCCTTTTCTCCCTGTCATTCAAGACCTTGATGTCCTCCTCCAGCTCTTGGATCCGCTGCTCACTCTCATCTTTTTCAACCATCAGTTTACTAAGCTCTGATGTCAGATTTTCCTGACTATATTTTACATTCTTTTAATGTTGTGGAAAGAAGAGAAACAAAATGTGTCATCAGTTATTGATAACATTCAGAAAAGGTAAAAATGGGCAAGACATCTGATGGCATAAGCTGTATGTACCTTGTGATTTCCTTCTATCTTCTTCAAGATCTCACAGTTGTGTTTCATGTTGGCTCTGAGCTCTGAGATCTCCTGCTTCATTGCTTCTCTTTCGAGCTCCCAGGCCACCCTTGCCTTTCTGCTGTCCTCTTTCTGTTTCTCTGCCTCCTCTTTCGCCACGTCCAGGGCCAGATGTATATCTGCTTGTTTTTTTAAGCTTTCATCCAGCTGACTCTGTTCACAACATGTGGAGAGAGGACGGGGATATTCAAACATTTAACATGAAACGATGTTGCAATGTTAGTGGTTCCAATCAATTGAATCACAGTACACAGTAGTGGCACTAAAGGGCCTTCTTCTTGTATTTCCTCTTAATATTTTTATAGTAGCTTTTCAGGAATATTTAAATGCAGCACAGAAGCTTTTTTGTATTTTTCCCACCTGCAGCAGCTGAGCCTTGGTGATGACCAGTAGCAGATCCTCTTCCTCTCCGTCCTCCTCATCTCGCTCCTCTTTCAGAGTCTCCAGCTCCTCCAGCGGTTTGGGAGCTCTGAAGGTGAAGGGACGACTTCGGGCACACACCTTTCCCATCTTATCTACGTATATAAACTGATACTCCACAGCACTGGGCCGGGGCAGGTAGGAAGCTGTGTCAAGGAGATACATATTATTATTAAAAAATAAATACATTTTTTGCCAAATATTCTTACAGTCTTACAGATAAAACATTTGAGTAGTGGAGCATTCAGTAAAGTTTTTGAGGTATTAGTACTTTTGTTCCTAAAATGGCAGAGCAGTAAGTTATCAGAAGTTGAAAATATTGAATAAAATGTAGAATGTGGTGTAACCAGCTGCAGTTGCAACAGACTTGAAACTCGGGGAGATTGCAACTGAAACATTGCATTTCAGGCACATTTTTTAAAGTAACAATATTTAAACATCTATAGTCATATGTTTTAAGAGAGGACATCATTTTCAGGTTCATAGTTGTATTTTGTGCCTCTACTATGAAACGTTCACATGCTTCAAAGTACACTGCCTGTGCTGCAGCATGCACCTCTTTTCACCCTCTGTCTGAAACCAGAGCCCAGTCTGCTCTGGCCGGCTCTGTTGTGATTGGTCAACCACTTAGAGATGTCCCGCCCCTTAGCCTATCATGTATAATGTTTTCTAGCCAACAGAAGCCTGAGTGTTACGTAGTGATGTCACTATCTTATGGAAGTAAACAAAGTAATCCAATCGAGGCGTTTCAGGCAGAGGGGAGTGGAAGAGAAACTCCCTATGGAGGGGACTTTGGGACGTTAACCTTTACATTACGTTCGTCAAAACAATATAACATACTACAGGAAAGGGAAAACCCCAAAAAGCATCATAGGGCCTCTTTAATGTTTGGATGAATTCTTACCGTGGAAAAGTGCACAGCAGTTTACGCTGGTACATTCAGTGTAGCCTTCAGGGACAAGAGCCCACGTATATGTGTGATATTGTTTCCTTGAAGTACAGCCCACCTGTGACATGATAACAAAAACATTTGAATGCTTTCCTATGACCATCCCTTGGCATTTCATTTAATTTGCTAAAATATTTTCCCTGTCAGAGTGGGGGAAGGGTGATAAAGTGGGTCGTTTACCTCAAAAATCCCTATCCAGTCAGAGCTGCTCCAGCGGTGGTCAGAGGTCAGACTGTAGTGGCACTCCACTCTGGATTGGGGGAAGTAAACTTGCCCCACATTATGAAACACCACCGTGGGCTGTTTTTCCATGGTAATAGGAAGCTGCGCTGTTTAGGAAGAAAACATGAGAGCAGGGAAATCTGATCCAGTTTCATTCTGGAGAAGACAGCTGAGGAAATTGATAGCAGAGTCACATCAGGAATGCAGCATGCTCGTAACACCCGGCACTCATGACCATACAATGATTTCACAATAACAACAACAAGCTACATATACTGAGCACTGAAGTTACAACACATCATCTTAAAGTTATTAATCATAAAAAGACAGTCATCAGCCAACTAATAGCTCAACTTAATTTATTATTTTCCATGTCTTATATTTCATTCTCAAAATCAAAAATGGTCAGATATATTTGAAATTAAGTAGTATATCAAGTAATACATTGCTTAAATATGTGTTAATAATTAAAAATTAAATTAAATACAATACAATTTCATCTATTTAATGCTGCCCTTATTCACAAGATAACCAGTTAACCCTGGCTTTTGTTGTAGGTTCTTTTAATTAGTTATATATTCTAAAATTAAGTACACAGAGCTTTCTAAGAACATTTTATATATGTATGCTTTCAATTGTGTTGATTTTCTAATTATTTAATTAGTGCTGTTTATGTTTCCTTACCGTATTCCGCTGAGAAGTTAATGTGATGTCCTGCTGTCGCCTCTTGAAGGATAGAGCTTTGGATCAATCTGTGGAAAGTGATGAGCTATCTGGTCCGGTGCAGGACTTTCACAACAAATCCTGAATCATGAGGACCCCCAACTAAAATTAGTGAAGCTGGGTGTCACATGGGAGATGCAGTTTGTGGGTCTATAGTTCATCACAAGGAGAAACGGGGCTGTGAACTACAACTCCCATTATAAGATATTGTTATTGGATATATAGGATCTGCAGCTGTAGTTACTGCAATTCTTATAAGTGGAAATGGGGGAGGTGGGGAAATGGGGGCAAGATGATGAAGGATAAACACTCTTCACAACAACTTCAGTGAACCCACGGTCCTGGAATCAGGCATAAAAGGAATGAAAAAAAAGCTGAATACTTAGCCTAACAACAGACAGCAATCAGCAATATTATGCTCTTAAAGTGTGTTTTCCTGCATTTTCCTACAAACCTCTCTATGAAGCAATAATAAGCTTCATTGTTTTTAACAGTGTTTTGTGTAAAACTCATCAGCACTTTCATGTTTCAGTGATATGGGATACAGCCTATGCTAATAATACTCTGTAAATCAGTCTTTTGAACCAGAACTGTCGCTGATTGCGTAAGAATCTTGATCTCACTTACGAACACAAGATGGCAGTGTAGTTTCAGCACAAACCCACATTCAATAACAATTCAGGGGAATCACAAACACAAAACCAAATCAAAAACAGAACGCTTATACGTGACAGATGGTTTGAAAACTAAACATTTACATTAGTGTATTAAACTGTCAGAATAAATGGGCAGCCAGACCACACTGCACCTTTAAAATGAGCTCACAGTGAGTGTGGCAATAACTAAAAGGTTAACACCCATAGCAACACAACCCTATGCAAATGATCAGCCTGTTGTCAGTAAGCCTTTATCTTTCATCTTCGTCTTCAGCAACAGAGGGAGACACATTCAGTTATTCTATAATTATTTAAACAGCAAGTGCTGAGACAAGAAATACTCACAATTGTTCACATTGTGGATACAATCGTAGTTTGAACATATAAAATACATTATTGAAATAAAAACAATGAATAAGACATTTAAATAAAGAATACAATAAATAGTATTGTACGGTGGTCCAGTATCAAATATTTACAACATCTACAAAATATTTTTCTGAACTTTGTAAGGTTACCATGTAAATGCTACAGTGAGTATCAGAATAAGAAAGCCTGTATTTGTCCCACAGCGAGGTAATGTACAGTGATACAGCAAAGGGACAGTGCAGACAAAAGTAGAGTCGAAGATCAACATAATAAGTAAAAAGGCAAGCACACATAAAATAAGTATAAAATAAATCATATAAAAGCACGCTAAACAGGGGAATATAAAATAAACTACTCAGCGGTGAGTAGGAGCTGCTGTAACAGGCTACTACTCCGAGTACTTGTTTTTCTTCCTGAGGACTGCACCTATACAGCTTAATTTTCTTCGGAAACATAGGACATGAAAGACCTTGTTTATATAATGTAAAAATGACGGGCATAATGATAAATGTTCAATTTGGTAAATGATTGAATACCTTTTTTAAGGTAAATTAAAATACCTAATATGTGCATGGAAAGCACCGCATTGTGAAATCAATTTCTTTCTTTCGACATGTTTAGTGGCCAGTGTGTGTCCCAATACACAGGATACATGTCCGGACAATTTGTAATGCCTGTATTAATATATTCCTAAGAAGTTCAATTAATGCTATTACCTGACAACAACTCCTAAACACAGCATTCTCACCAAACACTGAGCTTACACTTTGACTATAGACTTACACGCATATACAGTACAGACAGTAGTGTTGGTTTTTTCTTACAATAAATGCCTAATACCATAGTGCTGTGCTCAGCATGCTACCTTCAGATAAACAGACAAATCAATGTTTACAGAAAATTAAAGTTTGCATCCGCTGACAGTTGTGACGCCAGACGTGGGATAGTATGACGAGATCTCCTTGGAGCAGCTCAAATACAGACTGATCTGTAAGGGGAATTGTGATCCTGCCCTTTTAAGAAGAACACTAACCCATTGATCACATCACACACACTAAAGTCTCTAACTCAAACTTCTCACATCCTGGTCGAGGTAGTGCGCTGCTGTTGATAAGGCACGTGTCAGAGATGGTGTGTTAGCTCACAGGTTGTCCTTGTTCAGCAGTGACAACACACCGAGTTCTTCCAGCTTGGCTCTGGCTACTTCCTCCCAGCCCTTATTGGCTCGAGGGTTCCTGGGTGACGGGTGCATAATGCCCTCGACTCGGACCCTAACCCCTGCTGCTGACAGGGCTTTCCTCGCTCGCTGCTCTGCCACCCTCCCAACCCCGATCACCATGGAGACACCCAGAGCCTCCACTGCCTGGCACAGAGCAATGTCACACAGGGCGAGGAGGGCCTCCCGCTCACCTGCAGGCAGCTCAGGGGGGGTTAGATTTTTCCCACTGGCCCCGAGGAACATGAGCGGGCATAGATTGTGCACAAAGCAGTGCTGGAAGAACAGTGCTGGTTCACCACACAGCTTCCTGAAGAAGCCCCAGAAACGTGCGCCGCTCACTTCCTTCTGAGTGCAGGCAAGTCCTGTGATCCGCCGCTTTGGATGCTCGTCCTGAGGATGACCCACCTCCCCTGTGATCTGCAGCCAATCCACAACTGAGCTCACCTCACCAAAGGGGACCTGTGGCCAGAAAAGTAGATATTTGTTTTTTTACCACATCATTTACTGCAGTACTTGACACTGATTTGTGTTGGTTAAAGGTAAACAGCACACCAGCAACTGGTTAGAAAAAAAATAGGAAACTATAGTTTGAACTAGGTTTATTTAAAAAAAAAATTGGAATTTCTAGATTAAAATTAGATTTTTGAGATTTAAATTTGAACCCTTTTTTTCCCGTATTCTGAATTAAAACTAAGCATTCTCAGATAAATTATGATTTAGATCTCAAAATTCTAAATGTGAATTTAGAAAAGGGGGGGGGGGGGGGGGGGGGGTTATGTCACAATGTTAATAGTGGTATTGAGACCAAATATGTAATCATTTATTGTTATAATCATCCTTTCAATACATGATACAGCTAATACAGATACAAAAACGAAATACCAGTAATGTGTCAAAGATAACCTGTCAGTTGCATGGTTGCGTAGAGAAAAATACAACAAGATTTTAATCTTAAGGAAAATGACCATGAAGTGATCATCAGGAGAAAAAATAAGGCAAAGACTTACAGTATAAAATGTACAGCCACGTGATTATATAATACGTATATAACATTGCACAATATACAAAAAAAAAGGGAAACACGCATGTAAAACAAATGAAGTGTACAGAATATACAACAAGGCACTGTGGAAGAAACCTGTCTTCGGATAGATCTGCCGCCCGCGGAGCTCCAGTGAAATGTTGTAGGAATGTTACGCTGCAAACAATCCAGCAAGTCTTTAAACTAAAATCTGATCAATTACATCGATAATTCAGAAATTCTTACTAATAATTGTTCAATATTTGCAAACTGAGTCACTTAAAGGGGCATTGCACACTGTTTTTAAGGCCTTTAAATGGTGCTAAATCATGGTGCAATAATTGTGGCGGTAAAAGCCATACTCTTTTTTAGCCCCGGAATTCAAATTCCGAATTCTTAAAAGCAGGTTGAATTGTGAGATAAAAATCTGAATTATTTTCTCCCTTCGCTATGCTTTGAATACATTTAGTAAATACAAATGAAATTGAAATAGTGCAAGAATTTCAATTTTATTTGTATTTACTTGTATTTTACTTGACTGAAGATGTCATCACATTCTGCATAATGTCATGTGATCACCGGTGAAGAAAGGCTCTTTGAAATCAGTGATGTGGAGTGCGATGACATCATTGTTGACGTCATGCAGAATGTAGTGACATCATCGGTGACATCACAGAGCCTCTCCTGAAAGTTTGCAAATAGAACTCAAATTGTGAACTCCACCAAGCAAAAGACATTAGCATTATCAAAGCTGCCGATCAGCTTTTTTACACAGGGCATATACATTATAAATAATACAATTCAGCCGCACACTAGTGTTCAAATTTAGAACTATTATATTTAGCACATATTTGTATATTTAAAGCATTACACATAAATAATTTTTATCAGAAGTACACAAGGGATTAGTAATTAATCCATAATAATTTCAAGTATTCATCGGTGACGTCATCACTTCGGAGTGACGTCACAACGTGATCATGCTCCGCAAGGTATCAAAGCTGCCGATCAGCTTTTTACACAGGGCAAGCACTTGTGGTAAGTCTTTTGCCTTGGTGGAGTTCACAAATTGAGTTCTATTTGCAAACTTTCAGGAGAGGCTCTGTGATGTCACCGATGATGTCACTACATTCTGCATGACGTCAACAATGATGTCATCGCACTCCGCATCACTGATTTCAAAGAGCCTTTCCTTCACCGGTGATCACATGACATTATGCAGATGTGATGACATCTTCAGTCAAGTAAAATACAAGTAAATACAAATAAAATTGAAATTATTGCACTATTTCAATTTTATTTGTAATTACTAAATGTATTCAAAGAATAGCGAAGGGAGAAAATAATTCAGATTTTTATCTCACAATTCAACCTGCTTTTAAGAATTCGGAATTCGAATTTCGGGGCTAAAAAAGAGTATGGCTTTTACCGCCACAATTATTGCATTTTTTTTTTGGAATACTGAATTTGAAAAAAGAATTGCAAAGGGAGAAACTAAGTCAGATTTTGATCTCGAAATTCAGATTATTTTGGAGAATCCTTAATTTAAAGGAGACCTATCTGTAAGGAAGTGGCAGATTTTTTCCGGCTGTGTATTTTCAAATTCTAGCGATCTCGAGCTGGTTTCTCCAAAATGACCTACCCCACCTTTAACTTCCGCATTCAGATCACCGTGCATGTACGCCAAGTTAAAAAAGCTAACTGACAGAAATCTAAACGCGGTGCTCACCCCGGTCTGTGCCATGCCGAAAGGTCCCGGATTCATCCCTAGAACAGGATCCTCTGTCCGGGCC